AAATGTATTGCACCTATATGGTTTTGATAAACATTATCTTATCATTGAATTATCTAAATAACTACGAAGCACTGAATAAGTATTTTTTTAAAATCCAAATTTGAAATTCCAAAGAGGTATACTTTCAGAACCCTACATAATATTATGCCAAAAATCGCTATGTAAACAGTGAACACGATGCATTCATATATTACAGAGAAGAAATCCCACGGCTAAAATTTTCAAACACATTCATTCACGGATATATTGTCCAATTATTAATCAGTAGTATCGATATCGTCTCAGTGACGATTTGATAGAGCTTAATAATAGAGGCTTCAAACTAGGTTTTGAAAATTTATTTAGAAGCTAGTTAGTAGTGAACATACGATAATTATTCGGTACAGTTTCATGCTATTCCTTTCCTTCACAATTTTAGGCCAAACAAGTACGAAATAACTTGAGGAATACGACAAATTCACTGTATTTCATTGTTTTCTGTTAAGCTACATTTTTATTTATATTTATTTAAACACATAAATATTGGTATAAAGGGACATCAGATATATGCGCCACACAAATCTCATTTTATTTGTGTGACGGCTGTGATACTGCACAGGTGCCAAAACTGAAGCAGGTGGTTTTCTTAAGGGACAACACCCAGAGCCTTTGACCGAAAGATCTGATCCACAAGGCAGTGGAGCATCGTAAGGAGATGCAGTTCCATGGTAACCAGTGACCAACTATTGATTCATACGTCATTTGTTCCCTCAGGATACTGGACCCCATGTGCACCATTGCTTTGGAATCAGGGCTTTCCAACTGTCATAAGTGGACTTTCCGTGTCCACTAACCCGGTTAAAGCTCCGGACATTTGCTTTTCGTCCTCTCAATTTCGTAAACAACAGTAAAGCTACGAGAAGGCAGTGAGTAGGACTTCCCTGGCAGAGGCTGTATACGCGTGGCCATGTGAGAGCATTTCGAAAGATAGAGCGGAGTGGGAATAAGTTAACTTATTAGATTGTATATGGAGGAATAGAAAACAACGAAATACAATGAATTCATCGTATTCTAACATTATTTAAAATTTAATGAAGTGCATTTCATGTACAGACACCTATAATTGGACGATGAATTTTATTACTGACTGAAACTAGCTAAACAGTTATCAAAAATTAAAGAGTATTAAACGGCTGTTTAATATCGAAATGTAACTCTTTGGGAGTCCCTATCCAAGGTTCAGATAGATATCACTTTATGACAACAATAGTTTTCAAAATTACAATCCATCCCTACGAATTATAATCATGTGACAAGTTGATTACTTTAGACATTTGGATTAATGTGGGACAGATCAATAATTATGACTATGTAATCAGAAAATTATGTTTCATCTACGAATAAATAATTCCTATGCATTCAGTAATTATAAACAGTTAATTCTATGACTACGTAAATATTTACTTATTCACCATACTTATTGATCACTGAGTATTAACCAATGGAATGTTTATTCACTCCTTATCTGGGACAGAATACGATTGATCTCATTCCATCATGGCCCGTATTTCATTCGATCATAAGATTTGTTTTAGCCAGTCGTATACTAAATAGGTTAATGGCAACGTTTCTCACTATAAAATTGGGTAACGTGAATTTATATCTCACAGGAACCATTAGATCCCTCAAGATTCTATATATATGCTTTGATGATAAGTGCCAATTAGCATGAAACCAAAGTTCAGGGTTTCTGAGTGATGTCTTCCAACTACCTCACTTATTAATATATATACAAAGTTACTTTCATATTTTTGAAAATCAAATGAATGACTGATAGGATTTAAAAAAAAATAGTACCTATTAATAGCCATAACAGTTTATATTTTCCAATTTCTAATATTCAAACCGATTTCGATCACTTTCTGATTGAATATTTGAGCCCTGAACAAATGACCTAATGATATCTACCATTTAAAGTAAAAGATAGTGAGGTGGAAGCTTCAATGTAAATTTCGATACTGGGATGTAAATACAATTAATTGACCAATCTCAATTAATAAGTAACCAACGTCTTGTGTTTCATTAATAATCATTAACTTGAAAAGAAAACAACTCATCATTCTTGCTTGACAAAACATGAATACAAAGCTTTTACCGGCTTATATTGTATATACATAAATATAAACAATGAAAATATAAGGGGATTTTTTGTGGAGGTTTTTAGTAATTTTTTATATATATAGTTGAAATCATGAGTCAATTGAAGCTAGACCACCATGGAAACCTGGAAGCACTGGACGGCTCACTAGTGACTGGCTCCATGAGGTAGTTCCTGGAGTTCTATTGAGAAGCAGTAACCAGTGGAGTTCAACCAGGTCTGTTGGGAGATATCAACTCAATGAAGACATTGGTGAAATGGCTGCTCAACTTCGTGGATTGGTTGAAGTTAGACATTTACACCCTTGGATGCCGGCTCAATGGTCTATCGGTTAAATGCTCGCGCGCGAGATTGGTAGGTCCCGGGTTCGAATCTTGTGAGGCTGGATCGTGGATGCGCACTGTTGAAGAGTCCCACGATAGGACGAAATGGCCGTCCAGTGCTTCCAGGTTTTCCATGGTGTTCTAGCTTCAATTGACTCATGATTTCAACTATAAATGAAATTATAAGTTACAAATACACCTTGAATTCGCAATGAAATATGTATGTTACATTTACAGTAATCAACATAAATATGATTCCAACCAATTTGTATACACCCAATTAATTTTAATTTAGATTGAAATAATTACTTAATAGTTTTTTGTGTATTAGTTCACTTTTAAGTAACAATTTACTTAACCAAATATGTACAACAATATGGATTTCATATTCACAAACATAATGAAAACATTATTATTATTATTATTATTATTATTATTATTGGTAGTAGTAGTAGTAGTGGTGTAGTGGTAGTAGTAGTATTCGTATTATTATTATTATTATTATTATTATTATTATTAGTAGTAGTAGTAGTAGTAGTAGTAGTATAATTAAGTATCAATTTAACCACATAATAGACATTAATCTTTTTATATAACTAAGTCAACTTTTTATATTACGTTCAATATGACATCATACTAATTGTATACATTATGCACATACACACACACATTCACAAGTACTATATGTATGAGTATTTATTGAAATATAGAAAGCTCATTGTAATTTATCATTCTCTTACATAATTCAAAATTAAACAGTCCAAGTTTTGTAGAATCTTTTTCTTTCAAAAATAAATCATAAATGAAGTCATTCCATTTGATGTAAATTTAACTACTCTCTCTCTTTCTCTTCCCTGTTTTCTCTCTTCCCTTGATATCTATAACTAACTTGTTATTATTATGTACTATTATCAGAAGGGGTTATGTGGAGATTTATTTATTTATTTAAACACATAAATATTGCTACAAGGAAGCACCAGATAAATATGCGCCTCACAAATCTCATTTTATTTGTGTGACGGCTGTGATACTGCACAGGTGCCAAAACTGAAGCAGGTGGTTTTCTTAGGGGACAACACCCAGAGCCTTTGACCGAAAGATCTGATCCACAAGGCAGTGGAGCATCTTAAGGAGATGCAGTCCCATGGTAACCAGTGACCAACTATTGATTCATACGTCATTTGTTCCCTCAGGATACTGGACCCCATGTGCACCATTGCTTTGGAATCAGGGCTTTCCAACTGTCATAAGTGAACTTTCCGTGTCCACTAACCCGGTTAAAGCTCCAGACATTTGCTTTTCGACCTCTGAATTTCGTAAACAACAGTAATGCCACGAGAAGGCAGTGAGTAGGACTTCCCTGTCAGAGGCTATATATTCGCGTGGCCATGTGAGAGCATTTTGAGAGGGAGAGCGGACTTTCCCTACTCTCGGCCGTACCAGGGCATTTGGGGGCATGTGGAGATTTAGTATTTTCATAGCTGACTGGTAGGTCCTGGGTTCGAATCTCGCTAGGCCATGAATGCGCACTGCTAATGAGTCCCACAATAGGATGAAACGGCCGTCAAGCAGTGCTTCCAGGCTTTCCCTGGTGGTCTAGCTTCAATTGACTCACGCTTTCAACTATGATTATTATGTACATTGATGTTTAATCTTGAATCGAAAGTTTTTATGACTAAATGTTCTATATCGAAATCATTGCTACCAATAATATTTTTAAAAATGTTATCTTGGAGATTAGATTGGAATTGTCATTTGTCTGTTGATTTGAGTAGCTTTTATTACGAGCGAAACAAAAATATACATCCCATTAGATGTTAAGTGGTTGAAAGCAGTAGACAGATAACCCTGAGCCTAGGTTTCGTGCTATCTGGCACCAGTCAGCATGGTATACCTGTAATCTGGTACTCCCTGAGGGATTTGATTTTGTGTCACTCAGCTTTAAAGTCTAAGGCATCACCACTGAGCTATTCGAGTGACAACTTACCTTCTGTAGGACTCAGATATTTACAATTGTTTGACCTCTGAGTAGTGGCCAATATGTCATGTTTTTCAAGTCCTTTTATTGCTGATTGAATTCTATCGGTCAAGTTACAATGTGCCCACTGGTCCAAGTAACTCAACACTGAGTCCACTCAGTTTAGATGTTATGTAATTGACTTAAAAACCTCAGACCTAGGTTTCGTGCTAGTTGTCAGCAAGGCATAACCTTATGATAAGTGCAAACTAACAAGAAACCGGAATCAAAGGTATCTTGACCACTATCTCCAACCACGTTTAACATCTAAACATTATTCAAAATTGAATATTGACAACAGAATAAATATAAACCTCAAACTATACATTAGAATCATACAAGTAATCAAGTTAAAAAATGCAGGAAGAGAGAAAATGAAACTTGTATGTTAACTTATATATTATCTTAATTGATTACATAATAAATAAGTGTAACTCTATTTATAAACGTTGAATAGATAACTTTGTTATATTTTTATAAACCTATCATACTAGTCAAGCTCGTCTGTTTTCTGATTCGATCATTATGAACCATGGACTTGAGGAAACCCTACAAGGAAAAAAAAGATGAAAAATTTAGTAAGAGTAGTCGACGTCGAAAATCCATTTTGATAATTTCATTTAAAATGAACAGTGAACATAGTGTCTTGTATATTTACAATATCCTAGTGAATAATGGAGAATATTTATATCCGAAAGTGAGGATTCTATATATCTGTATTCTCTGAAATGAATGGCTTAGTTGTACAGCTTCTACTGTCTTTCTAGATAACATCATATATCTCATAAAGAAATGAGCAATTACGATTCTCTCCACGATGACTTAGAAGTTCATTTGCTGTTGTCTGTGGTAATACGACTGTTCTTCGAAGTGTCTTCTACCATGACTTGATCACTGAACTCGGAGTTGTTGACCTTTTTTCTCACTAGCTGATATACTCAGCTCATTTCTTTTTGTATATTGATTGATGCATGAATGAAGTAAATGACTATCACACAAATTCGGACAACAACCACTTAAATTCCAGACCAAAATAACAAGAAGTTAGTCATGTATGAAAAAATCTTAATAACTTAATACTTTCTGAATTATATGATAAAAATGTTATATAGATAGACAGTGAAAGTTCCACGATTAAACAATCTGGCTCAGAGAATACAACATCTACAAAAATTTAGCGAATACAAAGACATATCACAACTTCGGTGTGATTTTATTTCTTCAGACAATAAATAACTTTAATAGTTGAATTCATAAGTCGATCTAAGCTATAAAAAAACCCATTAAAAACCTGGAAGCACTGGATGGACGTTTCGTCCTAGTATGGGACTCCTCACCAGTGCGTATTGTTTATTTGATCCTTCTAAATCTCAGAATCGTACAACTGAGAAGCTGCTAACGGAGATAAAATAGCTGTGTTACACCTCCTAATTTTTTGACAGTCCTCTGGTCGGAACCAATCCGTGGTGAAAATTACTTATATAATTTAAATGCTTCATTTAAAAATACAGTGATCAGGCTTGAGGGAAACAATAGCAGGTTATTTAATTTACACTTAACAGTAAAAACATAGTAAGTGATACTTAATACTTTGATTTAAAATAAACTACCGACATAATAATCATTGTCATAGTTATAAAGTTATAATACCGAAATAAGTACCAAAGCACACTTTTTTTTTAAACATATTCAGCATCTATTATCCAGTATTCATTGAAGTACATTTATGCCAGAACATACACAACCCATTCACATAATTTTAATCTGTATATTTATACAACAAGAACTAAATAACCATATGAAGACAAACATAAAAGAATTAATTATTTACCTTAAATAACGTGTACATAATTTAGTGTCAACACATATTCAGAATTAGATCATTCATACAGAGTGAATAATAATCACGATCGTAATCAAACCTAACAACTAAAAGGCAATAACAGAAATGTCTACTGAATATGTACACATGCCAACAGAGATCGAGCAACTGCAATCGTGAATAGGAACAACTAGAAAGTAAACACTCACACAAATAACTTCACATCTAGTGAAAACATTAGTGGCTATACTAGCTCAATAGATTAGACGATAACGCGTTGGTATTTGAAGCGATAAGAATTGGGTTCAAGTATCAATGTAAGTATGAAAAAACAGCTGACTAGTCCTAAAAACGGAGCAAAATGAGTTGGCCATTCCTAGATATATTTAAAATACTACTAAGAATTGCATTCAGTGGTATTGAGAAATTAAGAAGTACAAAAAAATTTAAACTCATTCACACTAATTTACCCATTTCTTTTATTAATAAGTGATCTGTTGCCAAGGATGCGAATAAACCATAGAGATTAAATTCTGAATGAAATAGATATGGTTTAGCACATTTGTACATCACTAATTTTGGCGGTAATCTATTTAATGAAGTAAATATTGCACGTAAATATTAATTTTATATATGAAGTAAGATATAACAATCAGTAAATATTTGTGTGCAATAGGTCCCCTTCACAAATTGAAACAAAGCAGGAACGAATATATGACATATCTTAACTTTTTACCTTTGGGAAAAACGGTTGAGATCATTAGCCAATATTCATAAATTAATATCTAAACTACAAATATAGCTTAAACAGTGACTGAGACTAAGCTTTAAAACTATTTGGTTCCAGTTCAACAACAAATTATACTGCCGAACTAATTGCCTGATGATTGACGGTCCTGCAGGACCCATTCTTGTCGACATATATGTTGGGAATTTGGAAAGAACAAAATTACTCATCCCGTTAGTAAGTTAGCTATGTTAACTGGTTTTTCATTCAATTTAGTTATCATTACAGATCATAAAGAATTCGACATATTCTTTGTCTCATTTGATCCTTCTACTTGATTATAATATGACAAAAGAAACTGGTTGTATGAAAATTCTTCTTTTCAGCCTGTTATGTTGTCAACTTACTACTCTTTTATTTACCATTAGTTATGTAGTTTGGATTATTCCTTCCATAAAATTAAGAATTGCTGTTGTAGTGTGTGCTACTTATACGGACAGATATGAGTGGTATGTATCAAGAATCAACAGTAGGATTCCTACTGAAAAAAATAAACATGAGAAGACAAAAAAAAGGAAAAGCAGTCGGAGTAGGAACAGGAATGAAAGAAAGGCGGGGTTTGTAAGAGACAATTCAAGAAAGATTTTCAAATAAGGTATTCAATGTAATGTTTCCATATTTAGCAAATGCAGCATATAATTCGCTTAACACAATAAATTGGTTTAACATCCCTGAGTCTTCGTTCATTACACTATGATTGATTTAATGAGCATCACTGATCATTGGTGACTGCCCAGATGATCGTACCTAATAACATAATATTAAATTGCCAACAAAAGTGTCTCAGTGAGTCGATTCAAAAGTTATTCAGAACTATACAGCTTAAATGATGCAATACCTTGGAAAAAAAAACATAAATCTTTACGGTAATCAATTTCTAGTCATGAACAATGAATGGACATGTAAATTTATTACTTGTCATACTACAAAAAAACCAGTTGAACAAACTCCAAATTATTTACAAAGTACATGATCTGAATTAACACTTATTATGATAATGATTAACTATTTAATAGCTTAATTCTTCCGTCAACATGATGTTGTTCTTTTCAGGAACTAGCTATACATGACCATGAGCTTTGACCTCTAGTACAAACATTGAATCTTAAAAACAATGATATGGTGATTTCTACCCACTAAATTAAATCGATACGAACACTATTAATGAGTTAGACGTCAAAAAAATCACATTTTTATTTAATACTTAAAGGGATTTAAGCCCACTTCCATAATAATTTAGATAATATCCTATATGAACTATTACTTATATCATTTAGTAATATATAACATAGTGAACTCACAAGAAAGTTGATTCAGTATACAATCCACGAGTGAAATTAAGAAATTCCATCGAATTCACACATTTATTTGGTAAGTTAATCAACATGTTCATCTTAAAACAACATTCAGATGCCACTGATTTATATGAACATTTACCATCTCCACTGAAAATGTCTTTATGAAGTATGAAAACAACATTACAAACTTATTAAACACAACTGTTTAATATAATAATTACAATGTCCAACTGGTTCGCAAAAAATCTGACTGATAACTATGACCTTTCGAATAGTCAGTAAGAGCTAAATTATATTAAAAAGCTACAGAGTGAAAAAGCAACTAATTATGATACATGATAGTAAACAATTATCAGGATCACCTGCTTGAATAAATTTTCGAGCTGACTGACAATCGTTAACAAAGCAGTTTTGTGTGAAATCCGATAAATCCTATGGAATTTAAACCGACTTCACTTAGTGTCACAACTAAATGCATTACTTATAAGCTATACAAGTGATGATAAATCTCTATTTGTTTACTTTTGGTTCTTCAAATGATATTAGTCTCAAGTTAAAGTTATTTTTGGATAATAATAATAATAATTATTATTATTACTATTTTAGTGACCCTGTATCTGACTTCAGCCAGATCTTATGCTGATTGTTATTGAAATATACATGCCACCAACACTTGTATACAATTATTAACTTAATTCGCGTTACGGAATAACGGAATAAAATAAGCCAAATATGAGAATGAATTTTGAATACGTATATTTCATACCCAGACAGGCAATTAGAGAAACGAGGTGAAGGAAGCAAAGTGAAACGAAACAAAGTGACACGCAGCGGAGAAGGTGAGTAAGCCAACTCTTCTTGATAAAGAGTGGCTTGATATCTACATTCAAACAAAAAATAAGCTACAGACACGTAATGAATAGAGCAAGCGATTACTACAGTCAGGGAAGAATCAACAAGGTCAGAATGCAGCTTGAGAAAAACGAATAAATTGGTCTGCTCAGTTGCAAGTATAACCCTAGTGGGCTTGACGTAGTACTAGACACTACACTATCATTATTTATACTATCATAAAGATCAATCAAAATTACCTGATTCATCAACCAATTCAGATTGATCCTTTTGCTTATTAGTTAACACAATTGACTTTTTTTCGTGAAATATATCATTTTTAGGAAGTTCATTAATTAAAGCATTTACAAATTCTATAATAATTTAAGAAAAATAAAAATAAAACGGGCGAGACTGAACTATACTGCCGACCTTTGAACGAATCTTAAATGACCTTGAAAAATATTAGCCAATCAGAAGACAGTTAGCATACAGTGAAATATATAATACAAAACTCAAAAATTAAAGGGGATACTGTTTTTTTACATGACTCAAAAACTTCTCAAGGTCAGATATGGGTTCAGAAGATCTAAAATCATAGTGCATACGGTGCAGGAACACATCCATATGGCTCCATAGTAGTCGACCTCTGAAACCATGATAAGGTCTCAAAAATTCTTTTAGCCTCGACCGCATAGCTTCAATGTTGTTGGTATATTGGTATGGTTTACCGTTTAGGGTTAAGGGTGAGACTATAAGTTATGGACGACCTTTGAGCGACGCTAGAGTGATCCTAAGAGTGTCAACATAATAACTAAGACCAAATGAGAGTTATAAACCTGTGTGAAGAATTCAAACTATGATTTACAGTTCATGGTTAAAGCTAGGAATTATACTTAGGGTTTTCATCACGAACTGACATCAGCTATAATGCCAAAACTCTATTTATCCAAATGGATAATTGAATTTCGCGCTGAAATCTTATGATCACTTCTCTTGTAGACACTGAATTATCACGTCTTCCCTAAAATCCGCTGTACACCGATCGTACGTAAGCATCAGGTACCGAACTTAGCGCCGTGACCTTGAAAACCCGCGAAAGATTCTGATTGGCTCGGCAGTATAGTTTAGTCTAGCCATAAAACGATCAAACATAACTTGGAAGTAGAAATGAAATTGAAATACACAAAATAAATCTTTATGAGGGTAAACTATTATGGAGTTATGTAATATATTCAAAGTTCTAAAAAAAATTTATGATTATGATTATTTTGTATTTGCTTATTTATAAATTACTTCTGACAATGTGAGAGTATTCCACTAGGAAAATCGAAACAAAATAATTGAATAGTTGTGTAAAATTCTTCAATGGTAAAATCTAAAGAGTAAAAAAATGTAAGACAAGAATTCATTTTAAAAACATTACCTTTATCTTTTAGTGGTATGAAAGCATTCCATAAATTGATTAAAAATGTTATACGATTATATGGAATAGCTGATATATATTTAAATTCTCTATGAATAGTATGTGTCCCATTTATAACATGTTCAAAACTATGAAATAATAATATGTTATTCAAAAGAAAACCCGATGAAATATACTATTTTGATAGAAATAGTCTAACATTTACTGGATCTCTAGATTCTCTTTTATATAAAAGTTGATCGATGATGTCTTGTAAATACACATTCAAATCATTTGTAGCTAGTTTATAAAATCGAATATATTTCATGTAAATAATACAAAAAAACATACAAAATCGATGCGTTGGTAAATCGTCAAGAAGTCGATTAGAAAACTTTGATGATGACATAATCTGATACTGGACCAATTGGCTGTAGAATTTAAAAGAAGAAAGCAGGTAAAAATATATTTATATACATAGTAATTCTTCGCTTTTCGAGCAGCTTATATAAGTGAAACGAGTGTCTTCAGTAAATGATAAGGAGTATTCTACTATGTTTACAGTAACTTCCACCTATATGACAAAAAATTCATAATAACATCAATAAATTAGGCCATAAACTCTCCTAAAATAATGTGAAACACTGATTACAAAACACAAAATCATGGATTGATCGAAGTTAAACATTAAAACCGTTGAATGCTGACTCAGTGGTCTAGAGGTTCAGCGTTTGTGCACGAAACCGAAGGTCCTGGATTCGAAACCTACGTGAAGGATCGTGGATATGCACTGATCAGAAGTCCCATACCAGGACGAAACGGTCGTCTAAGTCTTTAATGGTGGTCAAGCTCAGATCGACTCATGAATTCAACTATTAAAATGAATAGTAAGGTTTAAAATCTACTTCGTTGATTTAAATATGTCAAGAATCTACTGAGATGATTTTCTGGAGACACTTTGACTCAAACAGTTATTGTGATCATAAAAAATTTCATTAGAAAATCTCCGAAAACCAAGGAGCAGTAAACAGCTGGATTTTCATAATTTGGAACGCTTCTACGGTGTGCTTATATTCACTATTTATCATATACAAACACGAGGTTTTTTACTGTCCATTCTTTTGTTATCTAAATTATCATACGCCTTCATCCATTTTCCCCGTTAATCCCTTGAACCGATGTACTGTTGTTCTAGGACTTTACATAGTTCCAGTCGGTTGCCTATACAGATACCATAAACACGTAGTCTCGCATAGACACATATTGGCCCGATTTCCTGGAACCTCAGTAGCATGTCGGGACTAAAATAACAAGAGAGCTCAAAATAATGTAGTAGCAATGCTAAAAGAAAAGACAAAACCTTGTAAGTACGCTTTGGAAAGGGAGTTCGGAAACATATATGTGAATGGATATTGAGATTCAAGACCAATAGGAAGATAGAAAGTGAATGTATTTCAGTCAGCTTGGATGGTTCTGTGTCATGTCGCCCAAAGTCTTACTGGTTGATTTTATCATGCCAACCAGGACTAGGTAGTCCAAATCTATCAGCATGGCTTAATCCAATATTCAGCGACTTCGTAGACTGATTCAAAGTTTGATTTGGTCGTCTCTAGCTTTCTTTTAACCTAACTCTGCATCAGCAGGTACCGTTTGTCAAAGCAGGTGGCTGAGTAGAACATGTAACATGTGTCCTATCCACCTCAGTTGGTGAAGACTTACTATTTTATCAACAGATTTGCCAACTTGCTAAGTATTATTTGCACAACTTTAACATTACTCACTCAATCGTTCCACGATACGTGGGCAAAGCTTTGGAGACAACTATGATCAAAATTGATATAACCCTTTTGATGCCAAAATTAATGAATATTCTAAAGAGTCTGTTGAAACGTGAAAATGTTTGAAAGAATTTCTACAAGTAATTTAACCAAGTATATTTATATTCCACTTGAGGCCTCTTTCTGAGAGCTAGTGAAACTACACAGCTGTCCAAACAAAAATTGATGGTGACAGTTTCTGTCGCTTAAAACGCCTGTTGAAAGGTAGATATATAAGTACTAAACTGCATTCAGTTGCAAATCCAGACAAGTATTCATTTTAAATTAAAATAATATTGCGTCCAAACACTTGACATCAAGTCCAGAAGCAACAATAATAAACAGATCTCAACAAGCAGCATTTCTATGCATTTTTAGTACCCTGATTTTCTAGGATATATATCCGTATATATCAAAAGTGTGCTTTAGTTATTGCATGAACTAGAAAACTCTTTAACTTTTGTATAACTGATTTACTATAAGTCTTTTACATCGCTCCGTCGATCGCGACGTGAGTTCCCGTTAAAGTTGTATTTAAAACTGATCTTTCCAAATGACTCAATATGTTTCTGAACATGCATACATCGATAATATCAACCATTAATCGGTCACCATAAACTATATTTTCTACAATTGAACCAAGATGGTTTTTAACGCTTGATCGAGTCAATTTTGAATTTTCTCCGCTTGCACATACGCGTATGTTTAAGGTTAACTTATTTGACTTATATCTCAAACTGTTTGTATCGGATTAAATACGGATTTAACGATACATGTGAATTTTTTACTGCCTTTATCTACGACCAAGAAAAGAAATCATACGAGATTTCTGGCTTAAAATGCCAATCATCAACTTCCCGAAAGTATAAACACATAAAATACTTACTACAACTGCAACAGAAACAGAAAATTGAAATACCGGTTGGTGGTTCAACCTAGACAAAAAACTATTAATGATACATTTTAACAAATTCTAAGCATGCGATCTAACTTTTCGACGAAATTTTTAGTTGGAGCAGCAAAAAGCTTTGGTTCGTTACAGACCAGTTCACTTGTCTAATAAAGAAGAAAACTGAGAGTGTTACTCATCCAATTAACATTTAATTGTGTTACTTATTTGCTTTTCAAAATGGTTCGAATGGTTGTGGACGGAATAGAAGAAGCTTTCTCTTAACGGGCTTCCATATCTAGTAGCAGTGGATCACCAAAACCTCCAAGCAAGAACCTAAGTATATTATCGATAATAGTGGATTATGCGGAAAGTTCTGCCGTCAAACTGGTCAAAAATGTCCCTCAATGTTACTATTGCAAGGTTTACTTGAAAGGCGTTTTCGTCGCAGTTAGCATATGACTTCAAGTCATAGGTTACCAACACTCCCTAATCTTTGTCGACTTGAGATACTTCTAGGAAGGAGTTTCCTAAGTTGTAACTGTAGTCTGCAATATGTCGCAGATGGACTTCTTCACACTTTGAAGTGTTGAAGGTAAGTTCGTCGTCGTCTGCCCAACTTTGAATTAGAGTCAGATCCTCCTGAAGAGCTAGTATATCCTCTTGGTTACATATCTCTCTCCAAAGTTTTGTGGAGATAGAACCTTAAAACCTATTTTGTAAATAATTTTTCATAGTTTTCGCATGTATTTTCATATTCTGTACATTAAGCATTAAACAATTGTACTTGTTGTTTAAGTGTATTACTTTGAACGCTTGTAACTCGACTTCCTTCCGTTTTTGAGTACAACATATCGTGACACTGTTACTGCTTCTCAATAAATACACTCTAATTCACATCTGCATCGTTCTGCCATGTCTGCTAATATGTTGAATGAAATATTAATTGCATACCATCTACGTTTATAGACAACTGCGACATTCTTATTGAATTCTACGCTTGGTAAACCTACTGGATCTATATCGTCCATATTGGGATTACTAATTTGTTATAATTGTGGATTATTTGGACCAAACCCAGCCGAACACGCAATAGCCTGAAGACTTAAGTAACGTCCCTTATTTTGTTATTTGTGTGTGTAATTAACTTATTAACTGTTAATTGTTACATAAACTATAGACATAATATTTTTGTTGCTAATTTTTGGTTATCACACATTTTGGTCCACCACAATTATTTGGTGAGCCCAGTATTTTATTATGTCGCATTTATACCATTGTTATATTGTTCATTCGCTCATTACACGATACTGTAGCTCATTTTTAACGTAATGTGTTCTCCACCTAAGCTTAGTGATATGGCGGATAAGGTAATGGAAGTCTGTCATGATAATCACTATATAAATACGATGCAGCCGTATGGAGCAGCTGATGTCAGTTACTTAAACTCTATTCAAAGACAATTATCTCAATTGACGAATCAACTTGAGTCCCTTCAAACCACTGTAGCAACGGTTCAGGCCAGACAAATAGGACCCCCTTTTAGACAGAGATCACGTTCTAGACCACGATCTCGTTCACCTAAACGACCATCCGAAATTTGTTGGTATCATACTAAATTCGGCACAAAAGCACGGCGTTGTACACGCTCGTGTGCATTCCCCTTACCCAGCACTGATAACCAGGGAAACGGTCCGGCCAGGCAGTAATGGCGGCGCCTGACTCTGGCCACAACTCAAGCCGTCTATTTCATGTCAGGGATCGTATTTCGGGCTCGGATTTTCTAATCGATACTGGAGCCGAAATAAGCATACTCCCACTTCATCTATCCCGACGACGGCACTCCCAACACGCTAAATTATCATTAGTGGCAGCAAACAATACTATTATTAAAACGTATGGCGAGCAATCACTCATCTTAGACATCGGTCTCCGTAGACGTTTTACATAGGTTTTCATCGTCGCTGAAGTTAAACAACCCATCCTTGGAGCCGATTTTCTTAGTAACTACAATCTCCTTGTCGACATGAGAAAAAAGAAACTTATCGACGTGAATACAAGTCTACAGGTCAACGGAACAATCACCTGCAATTATGAAACTCATGGTGTCCGATTGCTTAGACCTGATAGTCAAACTTTTGCCGATCTTCTATCGAAGTATGAATGTATAACAAAAGCCGATTATCAAACTGAAAACTCCACACACCATGTTCAACATACTATCACTACAACTGGTCCACCTATCTGCGCCAAGGCGAGGAGACTACCACCCAATAAGTTTCAGTCCGCTAAAAGAGAATTTGAACATATGATGCAACTAGGGATAATCCGACAGTCTAATAGCCCTTGGGCCTCGCCACTGCACATGGTTCCCAAAAAAGATCAAGATTGGCGCCCTTGTGGAGATTATAGGCGTCTGAATAATCAGACAGTTCCAGACAGATACCCTATTCCTCATCTACATGATTTTTCACTAAACCTGCACGGTAAACTGATCTTTTCAAGACTAGACTTAGTTAGAGCTTATCATCAGATCCCAGTGGCACCTGAGGATATTGAAAAAACAGCTGTAATCACACCTTTTGGGTTGTTTGAATTCTTGAGGATGCCATTTGGGCTTAAGAATGCTGCGCAAACATTCCAACGATTTATGGACGAAGTCACGCGAGGTTTAGATTTCGTATTTGTTTACATCGATGACGTCCTAACTGCCAGCTCCTCACTTGAAGAGCATGTCCATCATCTGCAGATTCTCTTTGAACGATTCAAGAAATATGGCGTAGTTATCAACCCTACTAAATGCATATTCGGTACGTCTGCCTTAGAATTCTTAGGACACTATATTGATGCACAAGGTATTAAACCTCTACCAAAGAGAGTTGAAGCCGTCATCAACTATCCTGAACCCACTTCGGTTAAGTCATTACGTCGCTTCCTGGGTGCATTCAATTTTTACCGTCGATTTTTACCTAACTGTGCCGACGTTCTACAACCGTTAACTGACTTACTAAAAAACGATAAATCAGGTAGCAAAAAGGAAAAGAATCAACCATTCAAGTTACCTTCCGATGCCAAAACGGCATTTGAAAAAGCCAAATTTTTGATTGCTGACGCCACCATGCTACAACATCTAAATACTGACCCCAAAACTCATCTGATCCTCTGTGCGGACGCATCACAAAAAGCCGTAGGAGCAGTATTACAACAACGAGTAAACAATACGATTACACCCATTGCTTTCTTCTCTAAAAGGTTATCACCTGTACAAGAGCGTTATAGTACATTCGGTCGTGAACTCTTAGCCATGTATTTAGCCGTTAAACACTTCAATTTTTTGCTACAGGGCCGGGATTTTACCATCATGACGGATCACAAACCCCTGTGCTACTCCTTTAGTATGTCGTATGACAGACATTCACCACGCGAAGCGAGACAGCTTGATTACATCTCACAATTCACCACAGACATTCAGTTTATCAAAGGTCACTCCAACATTGTAGCAGATGCGTTATCGAGAAAAGACATCAATGTAGTTGCATCCAACCATGACGTCAACCTAGAAATAATCGCAAAACTTCAAGCAGACGATGCAGAGCTAAAAACCTACAAAGAAAAGTCTCGCCTGAATCTCCAACCTGTACCCATCCCATTCTCCGACGCATCCATCATCTGTGACACATCAACAGGTAACAATCGTCCCTTTGTTCCACTTGCATGGCGCCAAAAGTTATTCCAACACTTGAATGGTTTATCACATCCGGGCATCCGAGCTACTACAAAGCTGATAACTGAACGTTTTGTTTGGCCGAAAATCAATTCAGATATTAAACGATGGACACGTGGTTGCCTTCAGTGTCAACGTGGTAAGATCCAAAAGCATACTATTAGTCCAATCGGAAAATTTCCTATTCCTGATAGACGTTTTCAGCATATCCATTTAGATTTAGTAGGACCTCTACCTTCGTCAAATTCTTTTACTCACATCCTCACGGCAATAGACAGATTCACTCGATGGGCCATTGCATGCCCCATCAAAGACACATCAGCTGAGACTGTAGCATCCGTTTTTCTAGACCGATGGATATCGCACTACGGTGTACCGACTACCATCACAACTGATCGTGGTCCCCAGTTCCAGTCTATCCTGTTTCAGGAATTCACAAGACTTCTGGGCGTAAAACACATCAGAACCACAGCTTACCACCCAGCAGCAAACGGCATGGTTGAAAGATTTCACCGGCAATTAAAAAGCTCACTCATGGCTCAAACTGATTCAACAAAATGGAGTGATGCCTTGCCGCTTGTTCTCCTTGGGATTCGTGCCACGGTGAAGGAAGACATAGGTTGTACACCCGCCGAGTTAGTCTATGGTACAACTCTAACGTTACCGGGCCAACTAGTCAACTGTGAACCTACAACGCAAGAAGATGCTACTCATTTTGCAAGTTGCCTATTACAAGTGATGCAGAACATTAGAGCAATACCACCGCGAGAATACAACAATCCAGTCCATCTCGACAAACATTTAGAAACGTGCAAATTTGTTTTTGTTCGAGTAGACGCGGTGAAAAAGCCACTGACACCACCATATGAAGGTCCGTATAAAGTAATAAAACGCACTTGCAAACATTTCATTATCAATAAAAACGGGAACAATGAAACAATTTCCATAGACCGAATAAAACCAGCTTTCTACGAACCCCCTCAAGACACTGATGACAATACGGCGAACAAACAATCACTCCCATCAATTGCTAAGAAACAAGAGGAAGAGGAAAAACTCAACACTACACCCTATTGTTTAACACGATCTGGGAGACTTATTAAAAAACCCAAACGTTATGTACATTTTATGGACTAACACAATCAATCAGTTGTATGCATTACTTTGTGAAGTTACGCAATCTTCTAATAAAAGATATTTATTTTCCCTACGTGTACATTTAATAACTACATTTATTTGTTATCACTGGTTTTGCCAAATTTTTTTAATAAGAAAAAA